TTCAAGTAAAACATAAGGTTGACGGAAACTCGGGGAGTGCGCCCACCTGATGAGCCCCAAGAAGGGCGAAACCGGTCGTGGGCTGTCGAAGAATTTTCAGCAACCTTGTGAGTAGTTTCCTTTACGAAAAAATCTGCTCCTTCTTGGTGAAAACTATCCTCCAAACGGAGACCACTTTTGTTTGGGACGACTGGTATATTCTATCTAAATCTACTTTGATCTCACTTGGGAGATTAGATTTAATTAATCAATGTACTGACGAAAATCGATAGCATCAGTTTCGTTACAAGACATCCTGCTTCAGTCGTTTTAGGTTATTAATCGGACGCTTTTCGAAATGTGCCTGTAAAGTGTTCCAGTCGTGTGAGCTTCACAATTCAACGATTCCCAGGAAAAATATACGAAAGTTCGGCTGCATTGGCGAACATGCAGCTCTGGAACATCTCACTTGGCCTGACTAGCTTTCTGTTTAAAGCGCAACTTGTTTTGTTCGGGGGCGTTTGAGGCGCCTGCAGACTTTCATACACACCGTAACTTGAGCTGGTGTATGTTACTGACAGGGTTTTCGAAGTGATACTATACTACCGGCCGCCAGTCCGGTTTCGTACCCCGAGTTGCGGTAAATTGGTCTCGCGATAGTCTCAGTCGTGACCCAAAAATGTTTTAAACCGGTGATGACAGCGAGAAACGCGGACCAGCCCTTCGAAACATGGCCTGGGACCTATTGTCTATTGGGGGTATGTTACTCAGACTATCTAGTCAAGATGGTAAGTGGTCTTATTGTGAGTTTAAAGCATTATCATGATTGCCCTGACTAAGCTATGTTCCGAGAGGCTTCAAAACGACATTTAACTGATCCACACGTTTTTCTACAGATGGCTTAGTACAAGTAGAAATTGCCTTAACACAGCTAACTTGGTTCTGAACAAGACTTTCCACTAGACGTAGACCTCTTAGTAGTTCCGAAAAATTTGAGGAAGAGGCTGACAAAGGAGCTGCATTCCGCACATTCCGATGTTATCGGGAACTGTTGCAAACGGCACGTGGGTTCTTTTTTTATCGACTAAGAACAATTAGTGAGATCTTGGCTTTCGGAAACTTGTACCCTATGCAGAATGGACCACCAGAAACAATTCGAAAAAATTTTACACTTGCCCGTGGCTGACGATTGCCGCAGATTCGTTCTATTTTACCAAGACTACCATAGTTTGTCAGTGAAGAGTTCCGGTAGTTTAGTCAGGACTGGGGACTCGAGTACCGTACAAGTAATTCGTATTACAAACAGTCTCTATAAGAATATCGAAATGACAATCGTGCAAGAGCTCCTGTCTTATGCTCTTAGAACAGATTCACTCGCCGGCTGCAGTCATCTGCTACTTTCTCAAGCAAAGAATCTCCTCTTGCAGACCGCGTGTCACGCTACTGACTGTGGCGAGTACCTTGCTGTCGGATCACTAAAACCATGCCAGAAACACCGCGGATCTATGTGAACGAATACCAGCCGTGATATCTAGTTTCCCAAACTACATCAAAGAGATGAGACAGTTTCTCTCACACCATGTCACAACTTGGTCCTTTTCCAGTGTAACGCTAGAGGTCATCACCCGGTTAAGGATTCGCCTACTCACAGGGAGTATTCCAAATCGTGTTAAGACTTTTCAGAACTAATGGAAGATAAACCGATCACTATTGTCACTTTGCTGCCACAAAATGCCACTCCAGACGGAAGATAGTTCTCATTCAGGAAGGGATTTCGGTTGATGAGATAGTTCTCATGTAGCAATTGCACATGAGTCAATCTAAGACAGATTTGAAAGCAGCAAGGTCACGCAGGCACACTGTCGAAAACTTGCGAAATGATCAAACCTCTGCTACACGATGATTTGGAGGGCAAGTGGAATTGGTGAACTAGGGTGGAAATGGTGTGAAGGGTGGGAGCACTCCGCTACCCATGTGCTGCTTGCAACCGGCAATGCGCGAACGAATTCACGGTTCCACATCCTGTGTTTGGACTGACCACTCCGTGGATCACTGGGCCGATAAACAAACATCTATTCAGAGTCGAATACAAGTTTAGTAAGCACCAGTGTTTGCAAGGCGTATCAATTGGCTGACATAAAAATGACAATAAGAACGTGAGACCTTACAAGCATAGGTTAGCCAACCGGAAATTGGTTTGTGTGTTCGGTGTATCGTTGGCCAGTAGAATGACTTGTTTGGCGGATGCAAGCGCAAGTCCTTGCTTGTGTTCCTTTTCCGAAGACAGATTTGATGAGTGTCCTCCAACCGATCATAAAGTTCTTCACTGCGCACAATTCAAGCTAATCTCGGGCTCTGACTGTCCAATCATTCAAGCTAATCTCGGGCTCTGACTGTCCAGTCAGTTGTTGTGTTCGACTCTGCAACCAAAAACATCCGATAGATTCCAAAAAACGGAGCTCGAATTACGCCAGTTTTTGTGATCCATTTAGAAGATAGAACAGTTATAATAGACTAGGTCCGAACATCCAACAAAGTCTGTGAAACACCGTGAACAGCATTGTCCATAGGGTACTGAAATCTCTTGATTTCTTGTTAGTAAACTGAGAGTTGACGCGCTTCCGACTTAGTGTTCAATTTCATCCCATATTGTCAAGTCTCACAAAACACCCATTTAGGTGCTCAGCACACGCCCACGAAATATTGATATATTTTCGCTCCGATCGATAGTGAAGTGTTTACAAAAAAGCTGACGAACCTACTGCACAGCTCAGTTATTAGAAAGCATTAATTTTTTAATCATACTTTTTAGTTTGCGCACTCCCGTAGGATGCATGTTAATGGTGTTTGTAGGGCACATGAGCTTATTTACCTGTGAAAAGGCAAATATGACAGATATGAAATTTTTGTGTATGACGTTTGTAAGACTTGTCTCCACAAGTGGGATCCTTTTGGGTCAGCCTGGTTACTGATGCATAGCCAACTGATATCCCCTTTGTTCTCGTTGCCAGGCTGACTGATTGTTTCCTGTGTAGCCTTACACTAGGTCTTGCCTTTCGTCTTTTCTTCATCCTTTTCAATGGATTCTCCCAAGTTCCAGTGAGTCAGTGCCTCTGCTATCTGTAATTATGACGATTATTTTCCGCACTCGTGAGACCATCCCACACACAAGTCTCATGTGTGTATATATTCCAAACCTATCCTAGCAACACTTCCCCTCGTTTTCTAACCAGTTTAACTTTTTCTCATGAGTCGTCGTACACTTTGAGTGGCCGGTTTCCTCTTTACCACTCATCTGGATCAGATCGGAGTGTGAAGCAATAAGCCGATGTGATCCACGTGACTCCTCCCGTGTTGATTAGCACTCATGCACCGAAGTATTCTTATTCCGACCGAAACTCCTTCGAAATTCGTTGTAACCGAGTGCAACTAGGCAGGGTTTCTGATCTGTTTTTCCTTGACTCAATTAATCAGGCCTTCAAACCTTAGTTTTGAAATGTCTTTCTCCGTTCTTTCGTCGGTATTTCCAATGAGTTTGCGCTCAGGGGGTTGTCCCTTTTCATCATTTTCGTCCTCTCTCGAGTTTGGTTAAGAAAGTATTATTAGACCAATCAGTGAAAATTAACGACCGCATCGTTCGTTTTATACCACACAGGCGTGGTTTTAGGATAATATGGCTTTCACGAAAGCCATCTGTGCGTGTTTGTGTTATAGTGACGAATTTGCCTCAAAAGCAACACAAATCGCTGGAAAACATGCGCGCACATGCAGGGACATCTAGGAGGTATTGAAGCTAACGTATACTGAAAAGCCCAAAGTCACTGTACGACCGTTTCTTCCTGAGGATCGTCACTGGTGTGAACCTCACTTGTCTCTAGTTAAGTTTAGTCAAATTCCCGATTGCCCTTTGTCACACATCTCGACCGCGACTTCCAGTCTACAGTCGGTAGCTCTGCTATCGCACAGTCACATGGCTTAACAAACCCGTGCTTCTGATCTGAAATTTATCCCGTCTGTAATTTGATTTTTTTCCAATTTGTCCACTTCACCAGATTGATCAAAATGACCATCGTTCATGACCTGGCCGAATCTGTTGTTGGTGACATCACTCCTTACTGCAACGTGTCAAAAGAAGAAAAAGCCAGACGAGAATCTGTAAGTTTGTCACTTTTTATCTGACGCGGATTTCCCAATTTGCCCCATAGCTGGTCTCCTTACTCCCTTCTGTTTTCATCCAATTTTACCAGAAACTGATGCGAATCCAGGCTGCTTATAATCCCACGGAGCGGACATTGTCTTCCGTGTACATCTCGATCTTCCTCTGAAAAATTCCTGATCATCGATATACCAAGCCATTAGAATTGGAAAATCTAATGACGAAACCGTTGTGGTCCATCTTCTGTTGGAGAAAGTTCTTCTGTTTTAACCGCGTGATTTGATGTTGTTTGCGATTGGCTCATACAGAATTCCCCCCGGTGAAACCCCCACAAAAGTGATCACTTTTAGACGCTCTTGTAGGTTGGGACTCAGGGAGATCAACTCCAACCACATTTCTGGTAACACAGCACTCCCTCTCATGAGTACCCTTCTTTCCATGGAGCAAACATCCTGAACGAACAGTCTTCTTTACACGGAATGTTTTTCCACTGCAGTTCCTCTTCGAGAGAACGTACCCCTAGGCATCAGAAGAAGTCCTCTGGGTCTCAAAATGACTCCAACGAGGAAGCATCAGAATGGAAATTAACAGTAATAACTGGTCGGCTGTGTCATGGGCGCTGGTGGCACACTATCACACCACATCGACCAGTTCTTCTTGGTTGCACTTAAGTCGATCAGGTTGGTAGTTTAATCGTGCACACGCATACACAACCATCCAGTGGGACATGTCACAGTCCTGTGTAACCAAATGGTTGAGATCATGGATACACCACTGCGGCCCTTCAATTCGGTGCCTTTAAATTGGCTGCCGGTCCGCATCCTAACAAGCTGTATGCACGTTGTTTCGGAACTAACGGCATAAAGAGAGTCTTTCTTTCTGTTTGTAGCTAACGAAGATGGAAAATGAGATGTAGCACCGTACAAAAACGGACTATTTTAGGACCTTTTTGTTTATTTCCTCCTCTTTTGTTAGAATACACCTTCGTGATAGGTGATCTGATTCCGAGCTTTTTTGCTCAATTTTAGCCCCAGGGGATACAAGTCTCTTGTTCGTGATGCCCAGATAACAGGAGCTGGTGGATCTTTTTTCGTTGCACTGGTGTTTCTGAGTCACATTGTACCTCCGATGCGTGTACTTCAATCGAGATGAAGTATTCCGTCCTAAACTAACAATTCCGTTTAGAACGTTAAAATGCAACTGAAATCTTATTGTTCTTGTGCATAGAATGTGTTACACAGTTATCATTACTCACTCTCGCCACGACGTATCATCTCCGTCGACGAAGACTTCAGCNTCCTCTCGGAAGAGCACTAGTTTTACTCAGAAGAAGCTGAGCGAGACTCTTAGGTTTCGTTTACACGTATGCCCCTGCACAGCTATTCCGGTTAGTCCACACCAACCGCAGGAACCACTGAACTCCACTTCCGCCCTATTAGGGTTCATCACGTATCTCTGGCCATGTTGGTACTTGAACCCCTGGTTTTTTTTACATGCGAGGCGGACGTGTTATTATCACTAGCCCACCCAACTACGCCGGGCGAACTTGAATTATGACGTCTAATAAGAATAACGTGTTTGGACTTCCAGTAATGTGGTTGGTTCGTTTGGTTGTTTCGCTCGATTGTCCTGCCTGTCAGCACCTCCGTTTGGCTGGTGCGACGGAAAGCTGGAGCCTTCTAGCTAATTGTGTTCGGTCAGTTGCGAGTGGTCACGGTATTTCCATAATTCGTACCCCATGCAATCTTTGGAATAGTGCGTTTCATGAACTTCCTGGTTCACCAAAGTAGCAAGTTTGCCCTCGTTTGTTCGACAGCACTACAACAGACTGAGTTCCTATTTCAGAAACTTTCGCTGACTACAGGCATCGGCTTCTAGTCTCTGGAAGCGCATACACTCATAGTTTCTACACGAGGTCGATACTAGGCTCTAGTGACCTCTGAGGTTTTGTTTATTAGACCAGCGACAAGCCAGCCAGTGCATAAACATTCCTTGAGGTGTGCAACCGTAAGCATTTTGGTACGAGGAACCACTTGTTCTCAACTCATTCACTTACCGGGAACTTCAAAGTGTCTAGTTTTCCGCATGAAGACAAATTGACCGTCGGTATGGAGCATTGCAGATAAACTATTAATCTGCTGATGGCCAGATAGAGTGAAAATATGTACCCCCGGGGAAGTGAAGCTCGGAAGGATAGCAAAATAGTGACAGTGTCTAGGAGTAACAACACAAACCCAAATGCAAAGGCTCAAAAAGTGGTTCCCGTTCACTCCACAGTTAGACCAGGATCCTCGTCTCTCTCCTTCTAACATGACGGACACTTTTGTTTCTCAACCATATTTCCATCCACCACTGTTACATGACCTCCCTATGAAACGCGATGCTATTTACCTTCTTGTTCAGCTTATGTGTGTCCACAGCACGAAGATGTATTCATCGGCGTTGTGTTTTTGCTCAAACACAAAACACTGTACGTTGGACAGTCGTCCGTTTCCGGTCGCATCCAACTGTGTCTATAGACGCCGCAGACAGAAAGATGCATCACACTGGTTTGCGCCAAGCTACGTGTGCAATCAGCCAAACACCCGGTGAAATAGTATCGGCGGTACGACTCATAATTTTAAGATCACGTGGGGACAACTAAGCAGTTGGAGCCCACAATTCATATCTAGGTGGCCTGGTGGCCTAAATCACTCATAAAGTGTTCCCTTGATGTAAGCACTTGGTTAGGTATATAGTAATCACGTTTGCTGAACAACGGTTATCACAGAAAGTCACTCGCAGCGTCATTTATGGACTGAACACTGCAATGGCTGTCGAGGCGGGTGCTTGCCAATTCACTTGTGGAATTTATATATAACCAAAAGTGGTCGTGTAAAATGTAGAATATATATGACAATACGACACAGGTACAATGCGGAGATAAAACACTACATATGAAAAACGATGACATACACCTAATGTAATACGTGGGTAAGACAGCAAAAAGATCATCCACCAAGAGCCTGGTGTTGCGAATCACCTGAGGCTCCCAAAGGTTTGCACGATAGCACTTCCACGGATGACGGTGAGGACTACCAAGCATGTACGCAAAATCTTACTGACAGATATTGACTAAAACAGTAATGCGAATTTGCGCGGAATGAACTACTCCCCCGAAGCGCCACTTTGTCTGGCAGGATGAATCCCATTATGGGGACAGGTACCACGGAAGAAGAGGTTTCTTGACCCATCGAGCAGAGTGACCTCTCTTCTGTGGGATTTCACACTAAATCCTGTCTATCTTAGACTCTTCAGAGAAGTGACAACTCTTTGGTCGTGTAAAATGTAGAATATATATGACAATACGACACAGGTACAATGCGGAGATAAAACACTACATATGAAAAACGATGACATACACCTATTGTAATACGTGGGTAAGACAGCAAAAAGATCATCCACCAAGAGCCTGGTGTTGCGAATCACCTGAGGCTCCCAAAGGTTTGCACGATAGCACTTCCACGGATGACGGTGAGGACTACCAAGCATGTACGCAAAATCTTACTGACAGATATTGACTAAAACAGTAATGCGAATTTGCGCGGAATGAACTACTCCCCCGAAGCGCCACTTTGTCTGGCAGGATGAATCCCATTATGGGGACAGATACCACGGAAGAAGAGGTTTCTTGACCCATCGAGCAGAGTGACCTCTCTTCTGTGGGATTTCACACTAAATCCTGTCTATCTTAGACTCTTCAGAGAAGTGGCAACTCTATTGAGAGAGAGATTACTCTATGCGAACTTGGCTGTTATCAGAGTTTTTATCGTATACAGTGGTTAGGAATACCAAGTGTATCCAGATAATCAGATTATGAAAATTCGCTCACGTGGAAAAGAACGCTCTTACATGATAGCCCTTCGTTTTCTAACTTGAAAATAGATAATCGTTCAGCTGTAGCACCCTTTCGCGGCCTAGCTGCCATGCCACCCGAAAGAAGCACGGGTGCTGGGATACTGCCAGGTTGCTCAAGCCTAGACAGGAGTTTTCCAACTTGATACGTCATTGTTGTTGTCGTCTCAGCTTCCGACCTCTTGCCAAAACGCTACCTAATAATCGTTTACTTTTCCATAATGCCCTGTCTTCTCACCACGTCCGTTCCTTTAGAATGCCATGGCAGACCTTTGCAATCTACTCCCGAAAGACAACGCAGAAGAGGTTCTCAACTTGTGGAACGTAGGTGCCAGTTTCTGTCTCCTCTCATTTACTATATTTCTTTCTAGGAGTACAATCTCGGACAGACTCCTGAAGCCCGTTTGTGCAAAGACTTTGACAAGTGAATGCCTAGCTTCTAAATGCACTGTTGTGTTATCATCACTTAACCACTTTTAGATTCGACATGATCTTGCAAGCATTCGAATATGAGAAAGAAACACAAAGGCCGGGAATGTTGGAAGAATTTTTCACAAGCACCTTAGGTATGCTGTCCAACATATTTGAGTTGTATGTGTTTTTCTCCAATCTTCTTACAGGTTGCTTCACTACCCCAATGATTCAGAGTCTTGTCAAGGAACTGTACGAACAGCGGCAAGAGTTTCAAGCGGATAAATAGAATTTTTTCGACCTGTAAAAAACATTTTTTATGTTTCCATTCCGATTTTATTTGCTCAATAAAAATATAGTCCGACTCGTTCTCGGGGGCTGGTCGTTTTCGTTCATAAGGAATGTCATGGTTGTACGGCAGTGAAGCATCGGTGTTGAACGCTGATGTCATGCTGTCGATGATGATGATAAGGAATGTTTTCGGTGAGTCAGTTCATTGATATCCCCTTCTGTAGGGACCACTTGAGGGGGCCGACCTTAAGAGGTTTTCCGTAGGATCATTTCATTTTGAAAGAGGAGCGGTGATGAACTGGAATAGCTAATTTGTAGAAGAACGTTTCATTATCTGTCCTAGATCTCATCTCTCAGATACTTTGTGATTTGCGCCATATCTCATCTGCACTTCCCAAAACATGTGTAGAACAGTTGGACATCTCTTTGTGCGTAGATGAACAGCTAAACTGGCTTCTTAGTTTCATCGTGCGCATGCACCTGACCAACACCTGCATTGACGACTGAACCTCGCCTGACAACCAAACAAAATAGAAATAGGAGGCGTAGAGTTCACTTTCTGTCGACCGAGAAGATTCACTACTCCGTCAAGTAATGCGAATTCCGCATTCCCTTCATCTACTCGGTCAAGCAGCGTCAGGACAGATAAAAATACGCCGCAGGATGTGCCAATTAAGCCAAACTAATATTCGCACATCTGGATGAAAAAACGACTATTCCGGAACGCTCAATTTAAAGTCACAGTGGCTCCCTGTGATTTTTAATCGTCAAACCGAACAGGCCACAGCGCATACGATGCAAACAAACGGAGTTCGAAACTGTGCCCCTCAGCGGGTGATATCGAGGTGGAGCTCACCAATGATGGTGACAGATCGCTTGTTGACTATCTAGACCGAGATTTGGCACAGTAATGCGGAACTCAAGTTAACACGTGACGTAGGGCAGTACCCATGGTGGCAGAGCACTCGCCTAATGAGCGAGTTCGAGGGTTTGAATCCCGTCTTGGTGCTCTGGTTTCTTCAACAGTGTTGCGTGCTTTGGTCTGTGTCTACCGTTTTCCCAACCCGCTTCGACCTTATTACATTTGCAAATTCGCTTACTTTACGCCCGGGAATAAATCGACCATAAGGAGCTTTGTTTGCTTCCATCCCTCTGACAGTAAGCCAGAAGCAGGGAAGTAGTTTTGTTTTGGTGTTTTGTCGTGTAAACGCGACCAAAAGGTTTCACCATCATGTTGGATAACGCAAAAACTGGTATTTTGACATCGTGCCCTTCAAACACCGCTTGCCGAAGGTTGGTGGATCATCACTAAAGTAAGGCAAGATACAGATATGTTTAACCTTGTTAATCTTTTTGTGAAAGTGAACGTTACCAAGGTATCGCGTCACATATTAACCCTCCTAAGCCCTCGTTAACCAACCCGGAGTCGGTTAATGGCTTGATAATCTTGACTATTTTTCGGTACTCTTCCCGCTATGGAAATATCAACAAGTACCCATTTCACCTTCACTATAAAAGTAGGGTTGACTCAGTCTCCATCCCTAAGACGACCACTAACGCTGATGCCATAATCAGCGCCGAACCCCACAAACTTAGTTTGCATACGGGCGATTCTGTTTCACAATTTGACCCTTAGAGAAAGCCCCCAGCTATTCGAGGAACGCAGAATGGATGCTCCGAGTCACGGGGGGCACTGCCATCCATTCTGCGTTCCTCGAATAGCTGGGGGCTTTCTCTAAGGGTCAAATTGTGAAACAGAATCACCCCTACGTAAACTAAGATTGTGGGGTTCGGCGCTGATTATGGCATCAGCGTCAGTGGTCGTCTTGGGGATGAAGACTGAGTCAACCCTACTTTTATAGTGAAGGTGAAATGGGAGCGTCCGGGTACTTGTTGATATTTCCACAGCGTGGAGAGTACCGAAAGATAGTAGTTAATTTTCTCCCTTAAAAAGACACTTGTGCACTGCATATGATTTCATTCTAAGTTGGTGGCTGGTATACGCGGCCCAGTTAAAGCCATTAACGATCCCAGTATCACTCTGCATAGCCGCGCCTTGGAGGCACAATGCTTTTTTCCGCAAAACCTTTGCGATCGGACTGAAACATTTTACGCCAAAGTCTTGCATTGTAACCTGCCGTCCTTTTTGACTTTCTCAAGAGCATTCGGGTTTGCAGTTGCTGTGCTATGGCTCCACAGTCGGGGCGCTCGTTATTCGCACAATGGAGTCGAACTTGCAAAAGTTGTGACCGGTCCCTGATGGACTGAAGTAATCAGGCAATTGAGTTAAAAATACCAGTCCAAACTTCTGAGCCCTGTTTAGGCATCCTGGGGTTTCAGTGATGCTGAAAATTTCCCCACAAGACACTTCAGCCAGAGGAACGGTTGCTCCAGCGAACAATGAAATTTGGTGAGCTGCAAAAACATAAATGTAAATCAGGGAGGTTTTCGGTTTGAGAACAATCGCAACGAAATGAAACATTTTGGCGTAGAAAGCCTTCGTTCGCTTGTAAATGTTTGGCAGCTGAGATCGCTGTGCAGATAATAGGTATGCACAATCGGCTTCACATACATTTGTTGCGAAATTTGAAGCTGTATTTTTTCATCCTTCACGGCATTTGAGAAGGCATTATATTAATTCGTGAGGGATAACTATGTGGTGTCTGTGCTTTCACCCAGTAAGTGAAGCATCAAAGCTGTTTCGTGATGCGAATGGTTGTACCGCGAATGCAGCGGGCGGCCTGCAATACTAATGGAAAATCGAGGAACTCGAAGAAGCTAGTAAGCTGAGCTTGTTTCCTAACATAACCAGTACATGAAGCACCGGTTTTGTTTGAAGGGACAGGAGAACCTTCTCTTGGTCGCCTCTTGTTATCTTGAACACAACCTTAAAGTTTCGATTTTTCTGTACAATCGGCTTCCCGTAGATTGACGGTTAACCGAAGAGAAATTGGGCACTTGCAGGGCTTAACGAAGTATGTGACAGTCCCCACCACTTTTTAAATATCCAACCACCACCGGAAGTGTCGACCGGCACTGTTGAGCGCTCGCCGCATGCTTGGGTTTTATTGTGGCATTCATTATACATAGAAGAAAGAAAGAAACGTGCAGCTGTAGCACCCTTCAGGTGCCTAACTGCCATGCCACCCGAAGGTTGCACGAGGGCTGGGATACTGCCAGGTTACCCAAGCATACACAGAGGAAGCCGAGAGGCCGAGGTTGGGTTCGAACCACGGACCTCCGGCCAGTAGGCTCGCACATCTTGCACCACTCATTATACATAGATATTCTACACGATGAAGTTGCGGCCGCGAAAATATCATAGCTTTCGAGAAATCAATTCCACCGTGCGAATAGTGAGTTGCTCCTACATAGCTGTACTACTTCCGGGATCAAAAAGTGCACGGCCGGATTCCGCAGAATTTCTGCCAGTTTCTCGATCAGCAATTGCCCAGGGCCCAAACGTTAGTTAGTAGTTCGTCCATTTGCGGTTCTCAAGACGTCACACGGTCCTGTCTTTTAGCCGTACGCTCAGCCCAGACGTAAGTCTCTAGCAGGATTTAACACAATCCATGGTATCTGTTGATAGTCTTCAATGTATAAAGTCAGTCGCTTGTCGCGATTGTCCAGCTACCTAATAAGCTACCTAATATCATATTGTCGCCACGGAAAACCTGGTCAAAGACTTGCTGTGCGAATAGAAAGGTTAGAGAAGACGTATCAAAGCTATTTTTTCCTTTCCCAACACTTCAGGTGATGCACGATGCACCCACAGAAACCCATATTCAAACAACGCACAAAGTACCCCTGAGGAAAATCCTGTCTCTACCACATATTACACTAGGTAATCCACATTCGCTCTTTGCCTTCTTGTGGTTTATTCTTTCATTGACAGTAATACATTAAGCGAATGAAAACACTGCTAAGTAAAATTTTACCACTA